ACCCCATGCACAGATACCATATGTAAGATAGAGATATTAGTGCGTAGTGTAATGACAGGAGAGCAGAGTGGGGAACATAATATCTGATTTTAAAGAGTATATCGACCATTTTTGGCTGTTTGTTGTATGTGGGTGCTGAACCTCAGTCTCTTGTCTATGTATAGGCCAAGGAACTACAGTTACTGATAGAGTTTGGAATGTTATGTTATTGATGGCTACATATTGATGTCTGTCACTGAGATAGGAATGAATTTAGTCCAGAGCAAGGCCTCAAATACCATAGTGGTGAACAAATCCACAAGGGCCGAGATGAGGGTTCGAACCTAAGTCTTGGAGGATCCCCAGATGTACCTTAGTCGACTGCGCCACTGTAAGGTACGAGATTGAAAGCTGCACCCTAAAGTATCGCTAACACCTGCTCTTACTTTCTTATAAATAATGGAAGTGCAGGGGTCTATATAGTAATAGTCACCAGTTCTATCTACATCGAACAAGAAATACCCCTTGGGGTACAATTTTACAAAAAGGATTTTATTTAACAAATACCAGATTTCCTCACACTTCTTAGAACAGGGGGGGAGGGGGGTGTATTTGGATCCACCACAGGATTGATACAGACAAACGAGGGGGGGGAAGGGTCCTTCTCCCTCTACAACCTGGGACTTAAGGTCATTACTCTATTCCACTCCTCATAGGTCACTACAAAGGGTCTGGGTTTAAAATGAATATACAAAATATATGTGGATAATCCCCCCATGTGACACACAGCTGAGCACATACACCTGAATTAATAACATACCACTCTCCCTACACACAGGGTTCCAAAAATCCTTTTTTCTACAAATTCCTTTCCCTAACTCATAAAGAAAAGGGGAAGCACCGCTATAAACATCTAAATACTGCACTTATCGTATTTGTTGGAGACCGTCCACAACACTGGTCTGGTTGTCACTTCCTCTCTCTCCCAAGTGATTGATAGGGGCTTGCACATGTCCCTGCCTGCCTGGTTCCAATAATGTCCCCTCCCTATACATGTTATACACATTTCCCAATACTTCATTTATATGTCTTATAATGTTCCAGTCTTTTTCTACATTTAACACTCTTGTTTCTCTATATTTTCTTGCATTAAATCTGCTTTTTCTTATCCATTTTATCCCTTTTGTTTACATTTTTTTTTAGGAGATTACATTTTCCTGTTGAGATGATGCTCTGTGCATCAGAAAGGGGTCAGAGTTTCAGACTGTTTTTCAACATTTAACACTGCTATTTCTTCCTACACAAGGGTCTCTCTCTTACATAATACACTGCTATTTCTCCCTACACAAGGGTCTCTCTTACACCACGACATGGTCATAACAATTGCAACTGGGAGTGCTACTGCCCTCACATGGATCCTGCAAGTAAGGAAGGTTCGAATCCCTCATCACGGCCCTTGTGGATTTGTTCATTTGATGCATTACGCTATTGTGATTTGTGTGTGTAAAATGGTGGTTTATGTAAGAGGTAGTTATGGTTTACAGTATCAAAAGCCTTTCTCAGGTCAATGAAGAGGTCAATTGGGAACTCATGTCAAGGGCTGTGTAGATTATATTAAGCAGTCTAATAATGGCATCATTGATACTCATTTTGGGAACAGAAGCCAAACTGGCACGGGAACTTAATATGTCGAGTTTTACAAGGGAGAAATAGAGCTATTTGTAAATAATTTTTTCAAATACTTTTGAAGGTACAGTATAGACTTTATATGGGTCTGCAATTGTTTATGTCATCCATCAGTTGTTTATACTCTTGCTTTTTTAAGGATATCAGGAAAAGTATGACATTAGAGATTTGATGAATAGTAGAGCTATGGGTAGTGCAAGAACAGGGGCAGCACTATTATATACCATAGATGATATGTATTTCACTAATGTTTCCAGCTTTGGATTTAAGTGATTGGATTATGGATATAATGTCTGTTGGGCTGACTGGCAAACTGGTAAAAGGAATTAGGATAGTTGCTAGTGAGATATGTAGCAACATGTGTCCGGGTCTCTGGGATTTTTTCTGGCAAGGTTAGCACCAATTGATGAAAAGAAGCTATTAAATTCGGTTGCCATTTCAAAGTTTGTTGCAAGTGTGTAACTATCCTTGGATAATTTTATCTGCTAATGTGGTTGTTGTTTAGATCCTAGGCTGTTAAAGATGGCTTTCCATGTGCTTTTCATATTTCCTTTAGCTTCTTTAAATCTATTCTCATAAAAGGAAAGTTTTGCTCTTTGTATTATATTGGTAGGAATATTGATAGAAAAAAATCCATACTAGATATAAAAATCCATACTAGACCGGCTCCCAAAAGGGAGCCGGTTGGCCGAGCGGACAGCACACTGGACTTGTGATCCTGTGGTCCCGGGTTTGATCCCGGGCGCCGGCGAGAAACAATGAGTAGAGTTTCTTTCACCCTATGCCCCTGTTACCTAGCAGTAAAATAAGTACCTGGGTGTTAGTCAGCTGTTACGGGCTGCTTCCTGGGGGTGGAGGCCTGGTCGAGGACCGGGCCGCGAGGATACTAAAGCCCCGAAATCATCTCAAGATTACATACGAGCCGTGATAAGGGTTCGAACCTATGTGATGGGTGTTATCTTGAGTTATCTTGAGACAATTTTTGGGCTTTAGTGTCCCCGCGGCCCGGTCCTCATCCAGGCCTCCACCCCTAGGAAGCAGCTCGTGACAGCTGACTAACTCCCAGGTACCTATTTACTGCTAGGTAACAGGGGCATCAGGGTCAAAGAAACTCTGCCCATTGTTTCTCGCCAGCACCCGGGATCAAACCCGGGACCACAGGATCACGCGTCCAGTGGTCTGTCTGCTCAGCCGCTGCCACCTACCTCAGGTGTTCTCACTCGCACGCCCTAGTTAACTAGAAACACCCATCCATAGGTTCCAACCCTCGTCACAGCTCCTGTGGATTTTCTCATTGACACATCACATTAGTGTGAGTACTGCATATTAATGATATTGGTACTATTATAATATAAGGTGTGTAGGATAGATTTACTTCTTAATGTAAAAACTCCGTTGAGGTCTGATAAAGAAATTTTGTTCTCTGTAATCCTTTTTTGTGCTATCTGCAGGATGAGTATGGGGTGCACAATAAAACTAGCTGCCTCTGGCAGCAACAATCAATCAATGTTGTGTATCAGAGCAGATTCAACAAAACGGTGTCTGTGAAGAGGCAGGAAAGATTATTTTAGAAGAAAACTAATATATAGGATGATTAAGTCACTAACATGACATAAGAGAGCATTGTTTGTGTCTGCAGACTTACCACTTTTGTTTTCCTCAAGACTGATATTTAATGTACAGCCAGTTTCCCCAAAGTATTATAAAGGACAAGACGAATAGGAAATAAAGTTGACATCAGCAGCAGTCGAAGCAGTAGTAGTGTGTCAGATTACTTTGAAGAGTGTTAGTTTGTCGAATGGCAAGCTTATCTTATATGCCCTTCGTTGATTGCTGTCTGCGCTCCTTCATAATGGTCAACTCGTGGCTTTGGAATCATTTAACCCCATACATCCTGTGGTACTAGAAATCCAGTATAGTATTGGATGTTTCTTACCTTTAGCAGATTTAAACATAGTTTTACTGGGTTCCCAGCCATATTGATAAAATATTAACGAATGTGGACAGTGCCGCTAAGGAGGCTATCCACACTCATGCTATTTCCTGGAAAGGAGTTCCCTATTCCGATTCCCATTGGTAGGGTCATTGGTCTTGTGTTACTAGTAACAAACTGCATGTTCTTAGTGGTAACCTGTTTCCATGGCCTTCCTCCTACCACCGTGAACCTTGTCCCTATCCTTGATGAATGTCCTAGATTTCCAAGACATACGTCCTGCTTTGCTTCTCTACTCGCCTAGTTGTACTTGTGAGGGTTGAGTCAATTGTTCTCTAATTTGCCTGTACCTTCCTCTTTTTTACACGGCTTGATAGTGGTCGAGGATGGACCGAAACTTCGTTTCTTCAGTTTCTGACTGCAAGAGACTAGGGCGAGTCCTGCAGTCAATTGTTCCTCCATCGAATCCTTGGTGAATCCAATACTGTACTTCAATATCGCTCGCCTTGTGCGCTTTTCTCGTATTGGCATCCTTAGTGATATTTAGTGCCTTTTGATTATCCTGTAATTTTGATGGTGCTATATGGTCTTTCTGGTTTTGGTACATAGCCTTCCTGGTTTGGTGCCTTCTTTTGATAATTACTTACTTTCTGGTTTTGATGCCTTTTGATAATTGTTTTACTTCATGTATCTGTATATCAGGGTGGGTATGTTCGCGACAAAATTTAAATAACTTCGGCCACGTAGCGGGGCCAAATCAACCCGAAAAAAGCAATGTTAGCAGGAAGTAAATGTGAGTGTGGTGATAGACACCCCTCCCACAAAATAAGGGGGTAAACGATGCGTCACAATAGAAGATGAAGCCACACCAGGGGATCAAATAATCACTACAAGTGGTTTGGGGCACAACCCAACCACAGAAGTGGGAGGAGTGTCAGTAGGGATAGTCAGATAAAGCCAGGTTTGGGTCTAACATTGCTGGGGTTACAGCCAGTCCCTTTTCACCACTTGGAAGGCCTGGTCGCCCACCTCAGAGTTTTGAGGGGGTAGGCTCGTCTTCCAGATGGACATAAGGATGTGCATAGGTCTCCACACACAGCCAACTTATGGGGACGTATGGTGCCTTTTGATAATTACTTATGGGGACGAATTTAGCTTATGCTATGTCACAGCAGGTAGGAAAGTGAGCAAGAGCTACCCCTTCTTATCAGCAGGCGACGCACGAGAGCCCTCTCACCATACCAAGGTAACACCCGTGTGAGGGCCATTCCTTACAGATTGCAGCATGTATATTCTTCATTAAAAAACAATAATCCTGCATAAAATTTATTTAATTTGCCATCCATACTACTAAATTTGTATCATATTTCAATTTCTTAACAGATGAAAACACACACAAGACAACTTTTAAGTTCTTTATTGTCTTGCTTTACAGTATGTGAACAGAAAGTTATGAAGATTACAATAACGGTATTACTTAATTTTAACATCCCAGTCTGATTGGAGTTAAAAATGTTGAGGCGATGTTGCTGCTGCTTCACTGACTGACGAGGCGACGGACATGTGGCTCACAACAGGCAGTACTGGGTCCTGGGAGGACAGCCCAGAGGAACACCAACACCGCCAAGTCTCCAAGCTGGCACTTAACAGTGGCTGTGAGTCCCTAGCTGCATAATGCTACTGCATCATGTTGGCACTATCTAGTCTACAGGAAATAGAAATAATAGAACAAGTTCCATACAGAAAAAGCAGTATTAAAATATCACATCTCCACAAGTGAAAGATGCAACCCAGAGAATGCCATTCTGAAGCTGAGGCAGCAGCCTACTAGAGTCCATCTCTGTCCATAAACTTCCTACACTTTTATTAGCCCCTTCACCAAAATGCACAAATGTCTTCATTTCCATATTGGCTTGGGTCAAGTCACTCCACAAAGGGCAGAATTAGCACTTATCTCTTCTCTTGAAGAGGCAATTACATTAATACCATCAACTTAATGTATGGATTAGATTTCAATTTCATGATATGTGCTCCAACCATGTACTGATCATCACTTGGAAAGCTTCAACCAAACTCGTCACACCCCTTAAAATTTATTCCATATATATATACATACACATGAGACCCATTAATAAATTTGACTGCCACCACCACCTTCATGAAACCCTGCTAATACTACCCCCAGAATAAGATCCATCAACACTGGCCTGCCCACCAAAAATTAGAATGATCACTGCTCCAGTTGCTACAAAGTGATGAGACTCCAGAGGAAGCTACACAAGTCTTCCTATAAGCACAAGAGAATGTAATGATTACTTCTGCTTTATCATAAATTAAATCAAGGGTTTGAAACATTACATTGCAGTCAAGCTGAACTAGAAATTAAATAATTTCATTATTAAAATAAAAGTTTAGGGGATTAGATCAGGTGCAATCTGGACCCTGAGCAGGCTGCTACACCAACACCCTACTCGGCTTCAGGTGTATGTACATGTACAGTTAAATTTACAAACATACAAGGCAGAAGTAAAGCATGTGGCAAAGGCTAAGTCTACATCAAGTGTGACATCCAAAGTCTTCACACCGCAGATGTGTCCAATTGTTTTTCCAACTATCTTCACATTCCTAGCATAGTCTTACCATCAGTATTACACTTCAAAGTTGACTGTACAATGTATACAAGCTTAACTGAAAATAGATTGGTTGATTTGTGCAGGTGCCTTGATGCCCATCAAGAACATGGAAGGGGCAGATGAACACCACCTGGTTCCTGGGGGTTAGAGCTGGTCTGCAGTCCTATGGCAACCCCTTAGTCACTTGTGAACTGGGTTGGAAGAGGCCAGCTCACTTTGTCTCTCGTGGGTTGTTGCCTCAAACCTATTACCTTAAGGTAGTTTAAGTGCACATGAATGGTTTCTTATATAATAGGTGCAAATTATCTCACTCATCAATTATCAAATGATGAACGACACATTTTGAGAATATACATGGCCTGTAGGGCCCATATCACAAGCCTTGGGTACTGATAACTTGATAGTGCACCTTATGGATCTTTCAAGCTGGCAATTTAAAATCCACAAACTGAAATGTCAAAATCAAGCTGGTCAATGCTATGGTTACCATGGGTGAAGGTGGCAAGTGTGAAGTTCCTTGATACTGAGAATAAAATGGGTAGTGTAACGAGTCCCAGAGATGGCTGCCACCATAATAGTGCAGTGGTGACCAATATCATCAGTGCACTGTCCCTCATGGAGATGGCAGTAGTAGTTGTAGAATGTGACAGGCTCCCTGGATGACGGCATCTAATGATGTCTGCAGTGGGTTAATAACAAACAAGTAACTGAAGCTGACATCAATGGAGGATTCTTTGGTTGGCAGAGGTGAACACTTCCAGGATCACATATTACTGAGGACCTTCATTACCAGAGATGGAAGTACAGTTTAGTCCAGCTGGTTGTACACAACAGCTCAAAAGTATTACTGTTGCCATGTAGGAACACGCACTTTAGACAGCATGGGGGAGGGGTGCAGTGCACACCATAGTTCCGTGTGACGAGCCATTTTCTTGTTCACCAAGGCAGGCATCTGCACAAGACACCACCTGCACACAGCACACTGTCCCGGTCATAACGCCACTAACAGCTGTTCATGCATCACACTATTGCACTGCATTTTACACTTGGTATAGATTCTTTCAATTAGGCCAGCCAGACTTCATTTTATTTGAGTCTTTTCACTCTTCTTCCACTAAACACCGGTACTGGTTGCATAAATTAATAATGAGAGCACACGTTAACTCTCACTCGAGGAGAAAATGCACTTCCTAAAAAAGGGGAGGGGAGGGGGGTGGAAGAGAGGTTATACCCATTACAGGGAACACAGTGATGGTAGGCAGTTTGCAGACGGCTGCCAGATCCACTGACCAGTGGGGCCAGTGCTGCCCGACCAGCTATCAGCTAGCAACACAGGGCACAACAGGAAGCAAGTGAAATCATCCACATAAACTAGACTACAAAAAGGTGAGGCCTCATCGCCCCAAGTCCACACATATGGGGATGACTAGACATTGCCAAATCAAGACCAAGTCCTGTTTCTTTTTGTTCATTTTCCCAATGACTATGTGGGCCACAACACAATGGCTATTAATAGTATCAAGAACTGGTGCACACAGACTCTCAATCTATGTACAATCATGAGAGGAAGGGATGACTACCTTCACAGACAGAGGAGACAATGTGGTTTGCATGAATCAAACTTGGGCAATGACATATACTATCTCCTAACTAATGCAAAGTAAACTACAATCACAAAATTTTTTTGTGACCTGAACAACCTGCTGATCAGTTCAATATTAAAAGCCCTCTCCAAACACAACAATTGGCCTACCAATAACAACAGATTAAAAATTCCAGTAAAGTAAATCATAACCCAGAATTAGGCCCAATACCTATGCATAAAATCATTTGTAAATAATTCAATTTGAAAGAAATCCTAGTGAGGAACTGGTGAGCATATCACAGCCCCCATGGGGAGCAGCGAGCTGGTCCATGTCTCCTGGGACGTTTACATGCCACTCTTGTTGGGTTTTCCTCCAGGCCAGACAGCACCGTATCACACCACATTCTCCTCTCACAGTCTCTCCTATAGTTATTACAAGGTTATCAATTCATGTGGGCTACCATATAGTAAATATTACATACAGAATTGACATATAGCCTACAATTCTATCCTTGCGACACTTCCCCCACGGATGGTACCTGGGAACAGGTAGCAGTGCCCAAAAGGTTATCAAGGGCACAGACACTTTCAGCACTTACAAATATCTCTCTAAAACAATGACTCAGAAAATTTGCACGGCTATGCGTATGGCTTCTTGTTAATGACCAGAATACATTCAAAACTAAATTATTCTGTCCTTCATGCATGTGGGCTTGCTGATGGTTGTCCTAGGGCCCAGCCTCAGGCCCACATGACACCAGGGAGGGTGTAGGACTGGCGCCCCGCACCATCATGACGGCACATCACGGGCGAATCTCCATGAGTCAGCACTACACATTTCATGTGTCCTCACTGCTGTTGCTGATGATTCAACTCTAATGCCTGTAGTTTCTTCCATAGCTCATCACGTTCACGTTCACGTTTTTTCTCTCTGCAAAAGTTCATTAGAATCTGCATGTCATATTATTCACACTAAATTTACAACTCAATTTTCCTGTTAATCAGCTTTATTTCATTTCATGCTATACATGGAGAATAGTAAGAATAAGATTAACAAGATCTCTGTAGTATAAATAGACCTACTAGTTGAGCTGGGATATAATATCCATCTATAATACAATCCAGCATCAGATCACACGTATTTTGTTATAATTAATTAAATTTGCAACTTTGGTTTAAAATTAAATAAAATCCAATTCTGAATTATACTCAATAACAGTTTAGATTTTAGAGATTTGCTTTGTCTTCTACAGTTTCTACTCATAAAAATATTAAGATCACTTGCAAAAGTTGATACAGTACGAACATGTGTGTCCTTGGTGATGTTGGAACTGAGAATAAGGAAGAGTACTAGAGCAAGTAAAGTACTCCAGGCACAAAATTAACTTTTGAGAAAAGCTCAAACATTTTATTTTGTTGACCATTTACTCTGCAGATTCTGCTCGTTGGGAAATTTAAAATCCATCTTTAAAATTTTGCCAAATATTCCCATCCTATGCATTGTATGTGCTATTATACCATGATCTCAATTATTGGAAGCCTCTAGTCTGTACACATTACAATAGCATTTTGCTCGTCTGAAAAGTACATTGGTACAGTATCTGGAAATGCACCCGAGAACTAGAGGAAGGGTTAATCTCAATGCGAGTAGGGAGATTTAATCCCCCACCTTAAGGGAAAATACCTTCTGGCTTGGGAACTAACTCTCAAGCCATGTCAAATGGTAATGAAGGACCCCTTATCCATTTGGAAACCTCTGAAGCCCAGGAGACAGGGTCTGAATTCTAATAAAATTAGAATCCAAAGCCTGTGTTAAAACAAAGGGAGAGAAAATGCTCCTGCAATGGCTCGGTAACATTTACGCAAAAAGGTCTGAAGCTTCAGACCCAGATCATTTCAGAAATGTCAACATAGGTGCAAGGGACCATTAACAATAAACATTATTTATTATGAGACTAATTAAAACCCGACATCTCTAACTAAACTGGAAGAAGACAAATTGAAGAGCTGACTTGGCACAAGTCCAAGACCAAAGACTCAACATCTTCATAAAAAGTAGGAGCACTTGACACTGCACAAACATTACTGTACACTGGTGTCAAAGGAGCAAAAAGTGTAGGATACATTCCCAACAGGTGCTGCAACCTACAGAGATTAGATAAGGCTAGTGTCCAGTGATAACATGTTACAATGTGAGTTAAAATCACACTTCAGTCACATTGCATAGGCTACCTCTGAACAGGGTAATGCTAGGGCAATCCCCCACTAGACATGCAGGTAAAGATGACAACCATTCATGGGACCTGAATTCCATACCGAGCCACCCTTCAATTGGAAACCAAGCACTAGAACAATGGCATATCGCCTTCCAAAAACACAACAACACCAGCCAAGTAACAAATGTAACTGGAAGAAGCCAGCACCATAACAAACGTCACTTGCAAAGTGCTTCCTGAAAATGGCAGCGAAGTATAGGCAGGCTAAGTGAAGAGTACACCATGACTTCACTGGCTGAGCTAGAGGCAAATAGCTTCCACAAATCACAGAACAGGAAATCTACAGACAACTTTTGAGTGAACAATCATATACTAGGATAGACGTAAACAAAATACACAATGCTGAATGCCTCCTGCCAAGTGCAACCCAACCAAAAGCACTCACAGAAGCAGGACCATAGCATCATACTAAAACTACTGTTCTTCTAACTACATCCCACCTAGTTACAGGTCTTGGCTGGGAACTAAACCTCATGGCACAGGAAAGGCCTCTAAAGGTGGTCCTGGAACATATTGGAGGGGTGACAAGTAAGCTAACTTGGATGAAAAATTCTGATAAATAAAATGAGAGCCATAATCAGAGACAATGTATCGGACTGAAGAAATGTCAAGTGGAATACCACAGGGTTCAGTTCTTGCACCAGTCATGTTCATTGTCTACATAAACAATTTACCAGATGAAATACAGAATTATATGAAACTGTTTGCTGATGATGCTAAGATAATAGGAAAGATAAACTTAGATGATTGTCATGCCCTTCAAGAAGACCTGGACAAAACAAGTGTATGGAGCACCACTTGGCAAATGGAATTTAATGCGAATAAATGCCAAGTTATGGAATGTGGAATAGGAGAACATAGCCCCCATACAACCTATAAATTATGTCAGAACTCTTTAAATACTGCAATTCTAATAAAGAAAGATCTAGGGGTGGTTCTAGATAGAAAACTGTCACCTGAGGACCACATTAAGAACATTGTGCGAGGAGCCTATGCTACACTTTCTAACTTCAGAATTGCTTTTAAATACATGGATGGCAAAATATTAAAGAAATTGTTCATGACTTTTTGTTAGACCAAAGCTGGAATATGTAGTGGTTGTATGGTGCCCATACCTTAAAAAAAAACGTCAACTGGAAAAGGTGCAAAGACATGCCACCAAGTGGCTCCCAGAAGTGAAGACAAGAGCTACGAGGAGAGGTTACAGGCATTAAATATGCCAAAACTAGAAGATACAGTAGAAGAAAGAGGTGATATGATCAAGTACAAAATAGTAACAGGAATCGATAAAATTGACAGGGAAGAATTCCCGAGACCTGGAACTTCAAGAACAGATCACAGAGTGGTAGACGGTTGGAATAAGTTAGGCGAGCCGGTGGTAGAGGCCAAAACCGTCGGTAATTTCAATGCGTTATATGACCGAGTGCTGGGAAGACGGGACACCACGAGCGTAGCTCTCATCCTGTGACTACACTGAAGTAATTACCCTAAGAAGGAATCTGCTGCCAACACAGTAGATAACTGATGGCAGATCTCTTGCTAAACAGCATCCCCTTCGCCCTTAAAAAAAATATAAATAAAAAAAAATGCTGAAGGTAACTGACAAATACATTCTCCAAGAGTATTTGCCTGTCATCAATGAATGGGTGATATTTTGGAAAATTTTGTTTTCATTGGTATTTGTTAATACCAAACATTCCTCAAGAGCATTTGTGCTCTGACCACCTTTTGACAATTTTGAAGGGATTTTTCCTGTGTGGAGTCTTCACTTCCTCAATTCACCAGCCTCTTGGAGTGGGGCAAGACTGATTTCTGTTCCAAGCTGGAAGATGGTCACAGAAACCTGGCATGTTGAGGTTAGCCACCCAGGTAAAAAAAAAGTATCAACTGAAAAGGCGAAGTGAAGATGTAGCAAATGAAGTTTTACAGTGTGAACATTGTTAAAGAAAACATTCACTCGCAGGATAATGGGATACACATAATTACTTCCCAAATTATTGTGTTCTATAGTTTTCTAGGACTAGGCCAACTGGCTCATTCCTATGATTTTTAATAAACATTCCTCTAATCTTGTCTACCACCACTCACAGGCTGTGTCGGATTATTAATTGGGCACGGTGCCTATGGCCTACGAGATGGCGGAGGGCCTACATAAAACTATTACTGTTTTCTTTTGTACAGGGTACTGTATTATTAAATTGATACCGAGGAACTTTTTTTCCCAACTTATTGCTTAATTATATTACTATCTATTGATGATACAGTACTTTATTATTTTCTATGCTATTTTACTTAGGCATACTCTAGCCACAGGTGAAAGCAAAAAGAGTAGAAGAAAGTCATTTCAAAGAGTACACAAAATATTTAGTTTTTTGTGTTACTAATTAACATGTCAAATCTGGTCCCATGTCTTGGAGGTGTCCAAGGCCTATGAAAGTCTCATCTGGTCCTGCCCACACGACAGGTCTGGGGCACAAAAACTATACAAAAAAACTACATTATTATTAATATGGCTTCTGCTCCTAATTTTCATCTCCCCCCCCCCCCCCAAAAAAAAAAAAAAAAAAAAAAAAAAACCTGCAAATTGTTATCTTGAACCAAGTTGCTGTATTTCATGTTTGGCAAAGTGCATACATCAAACTTACAATATTCCAAGTGTTGAGTACTGCAATAATAAACTAATAATTAATAAATACTTAATATCAAACCTTTGCCTCTCTGCCTTATACGAAGCTGTAAGTTCATCAAACAGCTTGCTGTTCATCTCCATGAATGTTTTGAGCACATTGTAGACTAACGCAACAATGGTCTGATTCCAATGTTCCTGAGAACGAAAAGAAATATGAAGACCACAATTGAAACATTTAATGATACATTACTAAGGTGCACAAATTACAATAGCTACAAGTGTAAAGCAACCAAATTTGGCTTATATTCTGTCACATTGTAAACCCTCACCAAACTGTATAACAACCCACCCTCCAAAACTGTACCCATAGTAGGTACAGGTACTATGCACAAAATAAAAAGTTAATGTTTGTAATTGAATTATGAAGCACAAAGAAGTGAAATTGTAATCATAACCCCCAACCTATTACTGGTCTAAATAAGCAATCCAAGGCTTAATTTATTATACAAATACTATACCAGTCCTACAATAAGTCAGATTTGATTGTTAAATTATTATGGCCTTTAGTTGATGGCTCAAGTCAAGTGACTGTTTCTGAGAGAGCCCCATAGTGGCTCCTTGTAGCTATCTCACCGAGACTGAAGCAGTCTACAAGTCCCATCAGACACAAAGTTGTGTTTGATGTACCAGAGACCAGATCTAGAAGCTGGTCCCCCCTAACAGAGGCACAATGACATAAGACCATTTCACCAGGAAAGCATCTAGAACTTCAGAGCACATTTTATTAGTTCATGTCAGAGCGAACGTAGTTACTGACCTTGCTAATTCTATAGAGTGCTGGAAACATTATAGGGAGGATCACGTTGGAATTTTCTTCTATTAGACTCATGATATACTCGTTGTTCCAGAAATACAGTGCCCGCTCTGCAACCTGTACCAAAACACACAAAAGTCACTTCAAGCATTACCAATAAATTTTGCTACAAATTCTAAAGCCAAAAATACATTGAGTTTAAACATTCAAATGGACCATAAAATTCATTGCCAAACTTATATTTTTACTATTAACCAAAACAATTGCAAGTTTAAATTTTAGCCCCACAGTTGTAGAGCATAAATCTATGACTAAACAAGAGAAAATAGAAAAACTATCCTCGAAGTAACAGTAGATGAAACATTTTGGCTGAAACCGTTTGTAAACCCGCACATTCACGACATCCATCATGATCATTGACCCATCTGGGCCATTATTAAATCACAGTCAGGCAGCACTCAGCGAGGTCAGGTCAGTGGAAATCAGGTAACAGCACAGAGGTAAGATCACACAGACACACATGCTCAAACACAGGATTAGGAGAGAGAAAAAAATAAGAGTAAGAGATTAGACTTTAATGTTATAAAAAAAATGATAATATACCGAAATATAATGTCAGGATTAAGATTCCCGTTAGGGGTGCTTTGTACGAGGAATTGTTCACAGAACTAACAAATCTTAGCTTGGTTTTGTCTGGGAATGTATGCCTCTTGGAACATTGTTAAATACTCATTTCCAAAACATAGGTGACTTAACACTTCTTTCCCCTCCCCACCTTTCTTTTTCAGCCACCTTCCCGTTTTTTAGTTCACTTGTACCCGATTTTGCACCTCACAGACTCGATAGTTCTCTGTTATCACCTAACCTCATTTATGCCGAATGTAAAATGGTGGAACTTTAGTTGAACTGAGAATGTAGCAAATTGTAAATCTTTTCATCCTTAATCCTTCAAATACACATACCATCTTAACACTTTTGTCCTCCAGGGACAGATTTGACGTCCACAAATAACTCTGCGGATGTCTGGCGGGGACGCAAGTGGCATCCAAAATTTAAATATTTGTTAAAATTCCAATTGTTACCCGATCATTATGGGACTAGTTTTACAATGTGCTCCTTTAGATTGCAAACAATTTGATACCAGAATGAATGACGTAGCATTAAAATTGAGGCGAGAAAACTGAACAGAGTACACACATTTCGTGTACTGTATAACTGTCACGGGTAACGCTCAGCCAATTTTCAGGTTTGCTGTGGGTTGCACGCTGGGCTTTTTTACCTTATATGCATATATCCCTTTAGAAAATTCTACTGTGAACAATTTGATACCAGAATGAACAACATAGCATGAAAATTGAGGTGAGAGAACTGAACAGTATTACACATTTTAGTAATGATGTGCAGCTGGGTGCTCGCTCACGGGGTATCGCTTGTCAGATTTTCGGTTTGCTGTGGGTGGCATGCCGGGCTTTTTGACCTTATATGCATATATCCCTTTAGAGAATTCTATTGCGAACAATTTGATACCAAAATGAGTGATGTAACAAATTGAGGCGAGAAAACTGAAAAGAGCAAACACATCTTAGTGCTGTTGCACGCTCACGGGTAACGCTTGGCCAATCTTCGGGTTTGCTGCGGGTGGGACGTCAGGCTTAACTACCTTACATGCACATACCCCTGTAGGGAATTCTATTGCAAACAATTTGATACAAAAATGAACGACGTAACACGAAAATTGATGTTATCAAACTGAAAAGAGTACACGTGTGTGTGGGTGTGCCAATAGGTGCTCACTCACTGATAACGCTTGGCCGACTTTCGACTTTGTTGGAGGGGGGGGGGGGGGGGGGCACTTTTGGACCTTATTTGCATATACCCCTGTAGAGAATTTATTGCGAACAAATTGATACCAAAATGAACGACGTAGCACGAGAATTGAGGTAAGAAAACTGAAAAGCACACATTTTAGTGTTGATGCGCGTTCACGGGTAACGCTCTGCCGATCTTTGGGTTCGGTGCTGGTGGCACGTCGGGCTTTTGGAACATTTATGACTATACCCCTATAGGGATTTCTATTGAACAATTTGATACCAAAATGAACGACGTGCAATGAAAATTGAAGTGAGAAAACTGAAAAGAGTACACACATTTTTGAGTGGCTGTCCACTCTTGTGAAACGCCCAGCCCATCTTAGAGAAAGCTGGGGCGAGCATGCCGGGAAAGCGAAAGTGTTAAGTCCTTATCAAAACTGAAATTAATCTCTACAACTTTATAAATCTGAAGAAATTTTTTTGTTCCGGAAAGCTACCTATGTTTGGCTACCTTGGTTTGTGATGATGAAAATGACCCTACTGCTGGTAACAAGCTCAATATAGATTAAGTGTGCTGTGTTGTGCCAATGCTGTTGGCATGCACAAATGTAAATTATCATCAATTGGAAAAAGTTTGCAGCCTAGGCCACTGAGAAAGGTAAAGAATGTGTGTGGTTTATAAGGCACATTTCTTCACTATGAATCCATAAAATCCCCTCATTCCTATCATTAACTGCTCATACAACTTCCTCGTCCCACCAAGAACATCGTCTTACTCAAGCTCTTGTATTCTTTTATCTATTTGATCTTTAAGTGGTGAAAGGTTGCTGGTACCTCGTAATCTTATCTTGCACAGCACAAACATGTGAACAGACAAACCTCCAGATATGCTTCACTTTTTGTATTTTTGTATCCCACAAAAATCAATATAATGAATAAAAAGACAAAGGAATACATAGTATTGAAGATTCTAATAAAAAATACTCAAGATGTGTAACAGACCTGGAAATGAGGACTGGAAACACACTTTGATATCTGCTTAAACAGTGGCTCTTGTATTTTGACAAATTGTGATGGCTCTATCACATCGAGTATTTCTTCTATCTCTCCTAAAAACATTACCTGAAAAGAAAGAAATAACATTTCAATAACTAAATGTAGTTAAACTGCATAAAAGACAATCAAGGGAAAGATCTCAAGGCCAGCATGTGTGATATCAAGATACACAAGAGATTTAATGATTACAGATGTGATAACAGGAACTTTAACTCGCGGAGTTTAATGACGCCAGTTTCGAGTGCAGTGCCATTTTTTTTGTTTATGTGCACATTTATCAGTGACTACAGGGAAGCAAAATCTATATGCTTTACCTCCTAATCATTTATACCTGACACTAACTGACACTAATTACCTCTCTCACCATTAAAACTGTCATTATATATTTTTTCTTGAAATTGTGGATGGAATCTGCTTTGACAACTTCTTTCTTCATTGCATTCCACTTACCAAGCACCCACACAGGGTACAAGAATCTTACCTCTACAACTTAACCAAGTGTCCAGCTTCCACTATGTCCCCATTTTAATTTATATATAGTTCCTTTATCCACTTTGTCTATTACCCTTAAGGATCTTGACTGTAGTGATCATTTCCCCCCGTTTCTTCTCACTAAGGTTGTGAGGATGAGTGCCCTCATCCTGCCCTCATAATTGAGCCCCCCCTCAATTTTGGTATTAATCAAGATCCAAACCTCTGAACATTTTTTTTTTCCCCTACAAGGAACAAGGTGCAGGTTCCATGCTGGTGCTGTATACTCAATTAATGGTCTCATAAGCAGTGTATGGACTCTCAAAGTCCCTTGTTTAGTCTTAAATAATGATCTTGTATTTGCTAACTTCCCACATGCTGCTGCTGTTTTCCAGTTCATATGCAACCCTGTCCTCTTACAAATAACCGTCGTTTTTCGCTTGTATGCGCTACAGTCAAAAATTGTCATACTAGATTTTTTTCAATATGAAATGGACCCAAAACAGCAAGTTTTGGGTCCTCTGGTAGGTTAGGAGAGCAGCAAGTTCTCCTAAGGTTTCAAAATGTCATGAAAACTTAATTTAAAGTGCCCTTTCCTAACCTAACAAACTAAGCCAGAGGACCCAAAACAGAAAACGGGACAGATCACTACTTTCGCGACCTGCTTCCATTTTCTAGTTTGGCAATTTTTAGCCTTGGTGTGCATACGAGCACAAAGCGACATTATATGTAAGAGGACGGGTTGTCACATGAGCTTCTAGGGTTAGAAGCCTATACAATAAAACTGGAGTGAGGACCAAGAACATAAGATGCACAAACGACAGCAACATTGCATGATGAAAGACCAGATAAACCACATCATATAATACATATTTTTTTGCCCAACCACTTGCACTGGACAGTTGAGCAATAGTCTCACTTCTTGCAGGCAAGCGTTCAATCCGTGACCATCCAGATGGTTGGGTATCATTTCTTTCCTTCATCCTACCCTTAACCCTTATTCCCTTATCACTTCAATGTGTTGTATAGTCATAATGGCATGGTGCTTTCTCCTGATACTTACCATTACCATCCATATCATTTTGTGGCCTCGCACGACTGCTGGAAGACAATGATCTTTTGCAACTATATGGGGAAAATGTATATGATGATCACCTTACTGAGTTTAGCATAGAATTCCTGTGCATAAACTGCAGATTCAAGAATCAACAAATAGTTAAACAGCATCGTTCATATGGTTGGGAAATGAGCCAACCTAATTGTGAGGATGGCAGTTTCCTGGGACTCCTGGTAGTGGCTGGGTGAGCCATCTATCAGTTAACAGTGATGCTAAGCACTTCCCTGTGACTCCAAGTAGTTGGGAACCATTCCTTCTGCTGTCCCATCCTAACTCTATCCTGAACCCTTCCCAGTGCTATATAGTTGTAATAGCATGGCGCTGATATAGTCGTAATGGCTTGGCGCTGTCTCCTGATAATTCCCTCCCTCCCCTCTGAGTCAAAGTTGTACTTGGAAGAGGTTTAGAGTTTAGGTGAATCAGTCTAGTGTGGATCCTCCTAGAGTAATCACCAGTCTTATCCTTACATTATGTAACACTATCTAGAAAATTTTCCATGAAAATGGGGGTGTAATAATGTCTGGCTGCAGTTGATCCTCTCATGGGAGGAGCAGGTCTTTCCTTCGGTGAGCAACAGGGTGAACTAAGCTCAAAGTAACGAAACTTTGGTTGCATATTTCATATAAAATGCACAAAATTCACAGGCGATTATTTTATTATGATATTCTATATTTTAGTAACACATTTCACATATTAAAGTGTTTGAGCAATATTTTCTTTTGAAAAATCATGGAAAAAAGATCAAATTCACCAATAATTTATTTTAAATTTAAGGAATTTGAATCAATGATATAGAAAAAGTTAAATGGTTAACAATGCATACTTTACGTTCAATAGTAAACCAACACAGCTCTTTTTGCTTGCATTGCTTCATGAAGCGATTACCAAATTTATTAGTACAGTACTATATAAATGTATTAGAAATTATAGTTTTTTTAATGCCAAAATCAATATTTTGAGATATACAAGTTTCAAGTGGTGGGCAGCTGCAAAGTACATAACAGTACTGGAGAATGGAACAGTGACTATCAACTATTTAAACTTTGGATGGTGTCTGGATTTGTTCTGTTCTGATAAGATATGCAAACTTCTAGAGTTGATGTTCAGTTAAATAGGTTTTACTTTGTACTCCAAACTAGGAATACACAGTTTCTATGGCCTAGCTCTCACCACCCTCTATGGTAATCTCTTTTTGACTGAACAAGCCTGAATAATGAATTAAATATTCAGGAAAATCTATTGTTGATTCAGTCATAAAACAAAAACTACCAATACCTTGGCTAATGTAACCACAGTTCAATGTGACTCACCTCTTTCTGACTACAAGTTTTGGGCCAGAATTTTAGAAGTCCTTTTATGACTGGCTCAGTGAGTGTTGGGTCCTTCTCTAAGAACTGCACCACACAATAGGCCAGCTGTGCATGGTATAGACTCAAACACTTCACTTTGTGCAGGGGAATCAGCACCTTAATCAAAAATTGCTTATGTTCTGCCTTCAGTGGTAGCGCAAACCCATTTATTATACTGAAATATTACAAGAATAGTCAACATGTATAAATTAGAGAATAATTTACCTATTGCAGCAATTTTAAAAAGCATTCATGCCTCAATCTATATAGTTCAAACATTTACATAAACAGTATTTTAGACCATTTTACTTGCCCTGTTCACCTTTTATCATGAATATATTGTTTATTACATTATTTGCATATACCAACTACCAGGGCTCAAGATAATTAAGATGACAAATATAACTTCTATACAGTAATAAACACTACATGTGAATATCAAGTCAAAAAATCAAAATCATGTATTCATGGTAAGATTTACAGTTTTCATGGTATACAGAAACAATTCTGGAAATATTTCATTATCAAAAGGAGCAAATCAGGTAAGATGCAACTGCAAATGAATGGAAATAGCACAAAAGCAAATGTAAGGGTATAAGGAAGATTTTATAAAAAGAAACAGAATACTGAGAAGAGAGCAAATGTACTTTCATGGTTGACTTTTAAGATATGCAAATGATGATTTTTTTAAGACTGGTGCTAAATAGGGTGTCTCATTACTGTATTTAATTAGAGTGTACACCCCCACAAGTTTGCTGCTGTCGTGGCATTCTTTAACAATATGCCAACATCCTATAGTCGGACCTCTGGTTTCTGGAGCTACAATTGCATACTGGTGGCCAGACAGCCACCACATAATACCTCGTCCTCTCTGCATCAGTACAGAGGGTGGCATGTCTCATCACATCTGGCTGGATCCAGCATTTAGTGGGACAGAAGCTACAGGAAGTCTCTGAGGAAGCTTCCCTGTTTTGCTACATACCCATAGGTTCTCAGGGTTGACCAACAATGCCACTTAATGGTGGAAGAGCAAAGTAGAGTTAATATTTTGGGTATTTGATCATGCCAAACACTTCCTTGAGCGTATTTTTTTAACCCATTTTTGGTAATTTTAATTTTAGTGAAGGTTTTCCTCAGCGTGTGGAATCTTATGACTCGACTCCTTCAGGTTATAGGAGAGAAGCAGGAGACTGTCACAAACACCTGCCATGTTGATTGAGATTAGTACTGGGTCCCACAAACATTTCATTATACTTAACAATTTGTTTGTGATTCTATACCATTTCAGATGCTTGCCTGCATTCTTGGTACACAGTACTTCCAGTGTTTAAAAATTACTGCTTGTAAACAGGAAGTGAGAGAGCAACAGTACCAGTAAACACTGCAAAATACACCTGAAACACTGGAGTGATTTGCATATTATCACCTAATGTGATAAGTTAAATATGCAATATTGTAAAGAGGGGTAACAGTGCTGTGAAGCACACAGGAGCAGAAAGCCTAGACCAAGCTGAATTTTAACAATAATAATGGAACTTACCTTCCCAAAATTTCTAGTAGCTCTCCTACACCGTTGAAGTGTTCAGTTTCATATACAAACCTAAGGGAGAGATTATGTTTAAGATATTGGAAAAGAATTCTTAAAAAAAAAAAACACACACACACACACGTATGTTTGTGAAGATTATGAAGATAGGCTCACACGTTTGCATGTCTGTCTGATATACACACAGAACATTAAGGTTTTCATTAATTCTTAGTGGAAAGTGTCATGATATAACGTGAAGAGGAGTTCCTCAAACAAATAATGTCAAAAATCATATTGACATTTATAATGTTTTATTATCTAATACTATAAATTTTGTTAGATGTCAGAACTTGCAGTTCTAATGATCTCAGGGTTTGTAAACTGACAATAAATTAGTAGCACTCAAAATTCATAATCATAGCACAACTATCCTAGAAGAATGTACTAAAATAAACAGTGTTGAATGGACTTCCCAGTAGAGATTACTAATTAGTAACATTCAAAAGTATACATGGCTATTTTGCATGACAATCGTCACTTAAAAGTTCCGGATGTATTTTTTTTTTCTACAGGTGGGGTACAAGAACAGACAACTTCCAATTCCTGTTAGCAGGCAGAGTGCTTTCTCGTACTTCATGGTAGGCCTTGCCTTACTAGTTTTCCCCTGAAATACAACCCACCAATGGGTTATGTTGAAATAACAACCAGGAACCCAATTAATGTTGGGTGAGCAGGTGTGAACCGTTAAGGGCTGACGGCCAGAAAATCCTCCCTGGCCAGAACTAGAACCCCTGACCAAATCGCTCGCAAGATACAGTGCTAGTGTCTTGCGAGCGATCTTACCTCTGTGCCACTAGGAACTATATTATAAGACATTGAGATACTGTATGGAAACCACGAGAGTAGGAACTGAAAAGGACTGTCATATGCTGTAAGAAGACCTTGACAAACTTCAATAGTTATGTAAACAGCTACTGAAAAATCAATCCAAACCAGCTGAAGGTAATGAGTGTAAAAGGAGATAAAAAGGCGTGTAGAAAACTAGACTATAAGGCAAAGGCAACTACAGGAAACAATGAGACAACCAGGGTCTATAATCCCAATGCAAACATCAGAAGCTCATGTGAACAAGATATCAGCAACATTGGATAACGTGGCAAATATAAGAACAACATTTAAAAATGTAACTAAACAGGTATTCAAGTCTTCCTATGTACTTGAGTACATTTTAAGTACATATTAAGTACAAGTTTTACTGATGTAAGTATAAAAGTTATATACCAATAAGTAATTATAGTACAAGTTAATACATTTTCTAATGAATTTGATACCTTACCTAAGAAATATATTATTTATTTGTTTTCTGATGAATGCTCTAAGCCCCAAAAATTTTCCATATATCCTATGTAGGACAGTCTTGAGGAAATCTCTCTCCCGAGGGTCTTCACTGTCAAATAGTTCCAAAAGCTGAAAAAGAAAAAAAAATTAATTAAATAGCAGTTACAATTTTAAGGGAAGCAAGATTAACTAACGTTCTGTAATGGTAGTGATTGTGCTTACCTATCTGTGTATATTATGGAATGTAATCTAGCATGTTGATAAAAGATGTTTTCTAGAAATGCAGGATTAAAAAAGTAGTAGAGTATAAAGCACATGATATCTCTACAAGTTATACCTAAATAGTTTACAAAACAAAGAACTAAATTCTTTATCATCATTTTACATTTGTGGGCTCAATAATGATTGCAATGTATTTACAATACTTTTTACCAATGATTGTTCTATCATGTGGCACACAAATCCCAAGATTAAGTGGTACTGCTCTGGGCTGTAGTACTTGCTCGAATGAACTATATGGGACAGTCATTTTGTTTAATATATTTCATCCTATTCCTGAGGCCTCTGGCAGCCAATATTTATTTTTTTACTTTTCCATTATAATGAACTGTCAGCGACAATATCATATCCTCCCAGGAGTGTACAGAGTGCATTTCTTCAACCACAGCAGCACAATTCGGAGAGTATTAAATGCCTTTCTGAATAATGGTGCTCTAACTGGAAATGCTATTCTAATAAAAAAAAAATGATTTCTTACGTAATCTTTATTTTGTCTGTTGCACACAACAGAGCAACAATTGATAACATACTGGCGTTAAAATGATACATATACGATGCTTATTTACTGAATACACCTGACACCCAGAATCCTTCAAGGAAGGTTTAGTCCAAATAATAAATAATTTATTACACATTTATGTTTTGATTGTGTGCTACAGAGCATTTCATTGACAATTTTATGCCAAAATTAAGTTTATATACAGTACTGTACAATCATTATTTGGCATACAAATGTAAAATTTACTCTTGCCACAAGCGTGCTCTCTTGCTTCAACTACGAAAAGGTGCCAGGTAGATCCACAAGAAATTGGCTCTGCCTCTCGTCACCATTATCGCAGTCGAGACAAAACAAGATGGTTATACTCGCATCTTGAAGCATGTAAATCTTCTGCTTAATTAAATAAAGGCAAATTGAATCCAGATCACACATTTAACAATATCACTGTACACTGTCCAGTATCAAGGATTTCCCCTCAGAAATCCAGCACTGCACGTATTGAAATGCCAATTTCTGAGCGAGCACTAGCAGCCCCCCACTACCTTCCCTCCCCCAGGAAGTCATGTCTTATGTTATCAAACTAACAGTGGAGCAGCCTGTAAGCTGTCACCTGCCCCCTCCTCCACCTAAACGAAGGGAAGGGTGAGGCAAACTAGCAGGTGTTAGTTTCATGAAATTTTGTTTATCATTTGCTTATATAGTTTGGGGGAGTTCTATGGCTGTTTTCAAGTCTGCAGGTCTTTAAGGCAGCCAGCTGTAGTTTGTTTTCATTTCCTGGGTGCCTTCCTCAGTGGTGGAACAAGTTAATAACTTTATATATAAATGCTACTGCTCTCTGCGCATCTGAGAGGGTACCAAGGTCTGTGTTTACCCGGTAGGCCAGAGAACTCCACAATTCATGGCACCTACAATGGAGATGGTAGCTTCAGGGAGCCACAGTTAAATAAACTCCTGTCAAATAAACAAAGCAGAAATTGTGATTCTGTAATATTATAGGAGCACATGGCAATTGTAAAGTGAATAAAGGTCCAGGGTGATGAAGGACTATAACCTGAGACAAGGTTAGGTAAACCCTGTGAGGTAGCACTCCACTCCAAACATTCTAGGTGTGTGTGTGTGTGTGTGTGTGGGGGGGGGCACCCCATTTTGATTTTGAACTTTAATAATATTAAGCAACAGTAGAATATTAAAATAATGAAAGATTAAAGAAAAAATGAGGCACTAGGCAAAGTAATGATGAATGGACACAAACATTTCATGGTAATTGAACAATAAAGAGAAATTATGATGGAGCTGGAGATAAAGGGAATAAAGAAGGGGAAGATGTGAAGGATCATGGTGAACAGCTAGTAAGATTAAGTAAACCAGGCAACATAGAACCTTGTAATACAAATTGAGATCAGGAGGAGAAAGTAGAGTAAAACAAGTGAAAGCAAGATGAAGGAATTCAAGACATTAGACGAGCTAAAATGGGATAGAGGTAGTAGAGACAAAGCTTGAAGAAGGGAGGAGGAGACATGGAGATATGAGAGATAAAGCTGCAGATAGTAATAACAAATCAGGCAATTACAGAAATAGACAACTGGGAAAAAGATACATACATTATCTAGAAATTACCAAAGGGGAACTGAAAATGTAGCCAAGAAGTAAAACTTCTAGCAGATTGAAGTTTTGAAGGAGATGAAAATTAAAGTTAGTAAACCAATGAAGGGTAGCAAATGTCAAGAAGAGAGTTACACTAGTAGTAGAGGAAGGTAAAAATGCAAAGGATGCAACTGAAGAAACAGCAGAAAGATTAAAAACAAAAACAAAAGTGGAGGTTGTAACAGAAGAGTCAACAGTCAGCCAGGAACTGTACAGAAGTAAACAAAGGGTCAGAGGCAAGCAAATAACTCATGTGATAGACGCTGCCAGACCAAAGCAGGTAGTAAATGGGAAAAAAAAAGTTAATGAAAAGGGGGAAACAATCAGGGATTATAAACAACGTGCTAGAACCAGAGGGAGCCACACAACAGGGAAGGGGAGAGAGAGTGGGAAGAGTCCTAGGAATTCTAGACAAAGTGCTTTTAAGTGGGGCAACCCAAGAAATAAAAGATTTTTGTAGGATAGGGACAGTCCAACATGGATGACAAAGACCAGAGAATGTTACCTTCCAAAGATATCACCCAGTGAAATATATACTGGCAGAGAAAATTGAGGTACAGGAAAAGATACAGCCAGGAGTTCACCGACTGGGGCATGATTAAGGAAAAAAGGGGATGCCAAGAGAAAGAGGAACAGGATAGGAAATGGAGATGCGAGGTGTTAAGTTTCGCTAATGTCGCTGTGCTCGTTCTTCCTTCACAGCACAGGTACTTAATATTCACCCAAAATTATTATAATGCAAACCCATCTAGGGAAACTGAGGTGAACACACACTTAAAATGGGGGAACCAGTTTACTTATAGGAAACAAACACAAAAATATATGTCCAGAGTTCAGAGCAACACACAATAACTTAGCAATAATACATATACATGTATATAACTATTTAATATAATGCAAGCCAGACTGGATTAAACACACACAAGCATAAAACAAAAACACAACAGACTTAACTGACAATAGATGTCACACCCACCACACCTTTGCTACTGAATACTGAATCCACGCACCTCCATGCACCACCACCAGACGCCTCACTCTCTCAGTTACCAGAACGTCTGACACAAACTGTTAAGTTCACCCCAGTAAACTGGTGCCTTTTCATAGCCCTTCACTCAATCCCTAGACTTTGAAAGTGTGATTTACTTGAGGCCACGAGTCCAATGATTGAATGGGGAAAAGGTCTACACCAAGAGCCTTACTTGGGGATCATGACATAACACACACAAATCAGTCGAAGAGATGTAATGAAGGTCACATTCCATGTACAGATGGTCAGCAGGTTACCTTGAGGTTTTTTCGGGGCTTAGTGTTACCATGGCCCGGTCGTCGACCAGGCAAGGGGAATGAATTCATGGAAGAGGTTGTTTAAGAAAAAAATATGATGAAAACATTTAATGTTGAGAGGTAATTAGTGCTTCGGGTGAAAATGACTAGGAGGTGGGTTATAAAAAGCTGGATATATTATAGTCACTTATCAGTGACTTCCCTCAAAGACACTAATAAGTAAGCTAACCATTTGAACTGAACAATATTTTTAGATTTTCAGGATTGTGCTATAGTGAGGTTTGTTCAAACAACGCCCAATTACACAACTTGTTAATTTAAATACCACAACAGGTTCCTGTTAAAAAGTAGGTGTTTAATGGATTTCTTAATCACAGCTGAAGAAAAATTAACTTTATTTACCTGTAAAACAAATTTCTGGTCTATAACTCTCTTGCCAATTGCTGGCTGGAAGTCTGGGCTCTCTAAGAAGCGTAGGAAGAACTCATAGACCAGTTGTAGGTGTGGCCAAGAAGCTTCTAGAGTGGGATCATCCTCTTCAGGGTCAAAATCTGGGTTATCCGAAGGAGGAAGTGTTCGGAACAAGTTGCAAGCAATCTGAAAAAGATTTTTTATCATTTTTACTACATGAAATGCTAATCAATAGGCCTTAATTATATGGGAGATTGTGTATTTTATAAATAGTAATCACTGTAAACTACATAATTGCCCAATCACGAGAGGTTTTAAGTATGAAGGTTTGCAGCTGCAGTTCAAGTAATAATTACCAGGATTCTCATTGGTCAGCTGGGGCAGGTGGTGGGAACTGGCAGGTCTGCCTCAAAAAAGCCAGTGCACACCACCTACTGTCCCAGCTGACTAATGAGAATGGAGACCAAGATTACTCAGTTTCATTAACTAACTGGGCAACACCGCCTCAGCCTACAAGGAATGTATAGTCGCCTCAACTAATTTGATTGAACTTTACCTGCCTCTAAACTTATTGAAGAGCTTCACTTAGAAATGTGCATTAGTCCTAGTAAAATGAACTTTTGGAGAGTTCACTTTCAACTTCTTCCAAAGTGAAAATTAACATTAAACATACAGAAGATTTCTGCAAGAATCATTGATATAACCCTTTCAGTCATTCATTTTCACATTATTTAATTATATATTTATTTATTTATTTTGCTCCAAAACATTTTAAAATATAAATATAAAAATTAAATAAATATTTGTGATCAAGAAATAGCACTCATGTGAACTGCATCTCAAATATTGTGTTCCTCAATCTTTTACCACTACAATTTTCTCCTAGAAATCTAAACCTTCGTTATTCCAGAGATTAACAAACACTATAATCTGTATACTATTTTTGAAAGACTCAAATGAATCCTACAGGTAGTTTCTAAAATGATCCATTATTAAATTCATTCACTCCAGCTATGATATAAATACAAGACTGAATAAACCAAAGTGTGCAGCTTACCATTCGAATTATCTCTGGATACACTGGCTCAGTTAAAACTCCTCGACCAGCCGTGATGTAATCAACAAGTTCATTGAGGGTACTACGTTTCATTTCTTTTCCTTTCAGGTCGGCCACCGGGTCGAGGAAATCGAAACCCACACAACACTGCCGAAGCTTGCGTAGGAATAGGTCCTCTTGCTCCGACCCAGGGACATCTGAGGGAAATAATGTGCATTAGCCTTCTGATCACTTTTAAAACAAATGTTAGTTACCTGTACAGGAGGACATGCATCAAAATTACAGTCATTAAGAATTTAAAAGCAATGCAACAGCACTAGGAACCCAACAGTGCAGAGTTCAAATCTCATTGAAGATGTAGTGGCATTTCTTAATTTGGCTTAATGCTTCAATTGTGCATAGTAACCAGGGTCGCTTTTTGACGCTTCAGTGATGGTGCGCAGTGACAAAGGGTTGCTTTTAGGTATAGTGCAAAATTTAAGTCCTGCAGGTACACAGGGGCTCTCATTTGCTTCCTCAAGCCCCCAATAAACAGACACCATCTTGGAAAAAAGTTGACCATACCACCAACCTGGATGTTTGGCTGGAACAAATGTGGACATCTATAAGAGAAAACTGGATAGTTTTCTTCAAGTGCCAGACCAACTGAGCTGTAGTGGATACTTGGGTCTGCGGGCCGCTCCAATCAACAGCCTGTTGGACCAAGCTCTGAAGTCAAGCCTGACCCTGGGCAAGGCTTGGGGGCTTGGGAAGTAGAACAACTCAGAACCCCATCAAGGTATGATCAAGGTAAGGAGGCCTAGTAAGAGATCGGGCTACAGGGACATTTATCTTCGGAACTAACACATGGTAACAAGATCAGCGGATGGAATGACAATGGTCGTAGTAAGAAATAAACAAGTTTTAACTGAAAAGTCTATGCATATACTGACACCCTAAATTAATGCTGGCATAATATTTCTATATACAGCTAATTTAACCATATGTGGTACTTATGGATTGGATGGTGGTTATACAGTACTGTGATGGCTGTTATGGTGGCCATGTTAGTATTGTAGATCTACCTACATTTTTTTTTTTTTTTTGCACCCACCTAGCCTTCCTTACCTGGTGTGATTTCTCTTTCTCGAGATTCAAGTTCTGTGTCGTATCCATTTTTGAAGTTGTGGTTGGAAGTGGCTTCAGCACACACTTCCTTCAGTACAGTACATTTGCTAGACTTTAGAGTAAACAATTTCCTTATTCATGAATACAGTATTGCCTTTCTATACTCCAATGATTTTTTCTCCATATCTAACTTGTTTATTCACCATGATGCCTTGTACACAACACTCATATTCCCTTTGATCCACCAATCTCTTAACTGAACAGAAAGACATTTCTCAACCATTGCAAACTCCCATCCATCTGGACACATGCATCTTAAAATTACAGTATCAACTCTAATTCAAACAGCCAAGATCATTTTCTTGGCTATTTAATTTGGGGTATTGATAATTCTCTGTCCTGGTTGTAAAGTTGGGTTCATTTTTGACTTGCAATCGGGAATTCCGGGCACAAATCCCGAGTGGGATGGAAATGGTTGGGTGCATTTCCTAACATGACCTAGCAGTACATAAGTACCAGGAGTGTCAGTTTTTTGTGGGATTGCATCCTGGGGAGGGTCAGTAATTTGATCCCAGAGGGGGGGGGAGGGTCCTCTATATATATGGTTAACATGTATACACAGTATACACTTGCTGCCTGTCTAATCATGCAAGTATGTATGGAGGGAAGTTTATAATAAACAATAAAATCACACTAACACGATGTACAGGCATCCGAGAAAATCATTGGAGAAGGATGCCGTGATCAAACCAGTGTCCTGGATTACACAACCTGGTGTGTGGCCAGACCCACTAGGAATTTAGAGGCACCAGCTTGGTGCCTCCAAATTCCTAGTGCAACCAGGGAGACTTCAGGTTGAGTAACCTTTAGCATATCATGGGCTACTGATAAAGGGCAGGTCTGTGACCCAGTATGGTAATTCAATTCTGCCATCTTCCTCCAAACATTTGTTCAAAGTTTGTAATGGTTGGAAAATGTGTGTTGGATGGGATGGCTGCTGGATGTTGTGTGCCAGACATTTGTAAGATGAAGGAGCAGGGGATGACTTTGATTGCTGGTTGAGCTTTGGTGGATTAGGATACACCTTGTAAATCAGGAAAATTGTTGCAGTCGAGGTACGAAGAGGCCTTACACTTGTAACTGATCTGCACAAATACTACATTGATTAGAGTTGATACTCTAATAAGATTATTATTATTATTATTATTATTATTATATTATATTATATTATATATTATTATTACTAATATAATTATATTATGATGTTGATGCTCTTGATGATTAGAGTTGATACGGGTTAATGTAGCAGTCATACTAAAAGCACTTGAAACAGTCACATAATACAATTATTTCTTTAGTGATTTTGGCAATGATTTAATACAGTACCTAAATAGAATACACCCTCATTTCAAAGCAAAGTTTGCTTGCTCAGTAAATTAAAATACATATTTCTTTAATAACCACTGTTTATGGTGGATTGTTATGAAATATAGTTTAAACACTATCATATAGCTTATAAGAATATGGCAATTGAGCAGCTGGGCTTTAAAACCACTTAATAAATGTATGACAAAATATACGACTATTGTTTTTTCCACAAAATATCCTCATAAAATTCGAGTACAGTACGTCTTGAGCAGATGTGCATCTTAATAAATGCTAAAAAATACAGTATGTATTGTACTGTACATCAGATGTTTCGTGATCAGAATGTAAGGGTGTTGACGTCTTAAGTGTTGTTAGTAAGAAGTCATAATTATGCATACAGTATGGTTCCTTTGGTGATTCCAAAGGTATCAGTGAGCCCTATACTAGGGTGTTTATATACTACTACACTATCAGAATTTCATCTACCTCACAGACTCGGTTGTGTCAATAATTTATTATGGTTCCCGTTGCCTCTGGTTATGGTGTTAATCAAGAATAACCTGCATTGTCTGAGGTTATGTTTACTTATAAGTTACTAGCAAACAAGCTGATTAATATCAGTTACAAAGACAGCTCTTATGTGCAAACTGCCACTAACATAGCCAAGAACCTGCTACATGGGTTGGGAAAGAAATGCCAGTACAGTACTCTAATCATACAAACATATTTCTGATTGTGCCACAACACTCATGCAAGTCTGTTTATGTTGTGGTAAAAAAAAAAATTCAACAGTATGAAAATGATGGTAAATTAGTTGTTAGTGTGGTAGGAAAGTGACATTGAATTAGAAAGTGAAGACTAGTGGGGGTAGGAGGATCAGATGTATGGAGGAGGTGACTGTCCTGGGACAACTGCTGTTCCTGATTTAGGTGAATGACCTACCACCTTTCGCCCTGCTCTCAACTTTCTCTAGGAATTACCTCCTCTTCCCTTACTCCTATCATAATCTACTTGATAATGGTTCAGGATGGACCAAAACATTGTCTCCATCTCCTGGTGTGTGGTTTGGTCATCATCATATCTTTAGTCACATTACTGTGATTCATTGTCTGCAAATGGACATATCAATGTTTGCAGATGATGTAAAGCTGATGAGGAACATGAAAACCAATGAGGACTGCAGGAAGTTACAGGATGCCGTGACAAACTCCAGGAATGGTTAAACAAATGGTTGCTGGAATAAAATCCCAACAAGTTAATAAAGATGGGGAGAGGGGGGCTCTTGATAATTGTTGAGAGGGGTCAACAATTATCAAAGGGGGAGAGGCAACCAGAAGGCATCTACAGGAATCAGGCAGAAAGAAGAATTTGGGAGTGGATATAATTCCAACACTTACACCAGAAGCACAAACAGGATAACATCGGCAGCATGTGGGACGCTGGCAAATATAAGATCATCATTTAGGAACTTTAATCTGGACTCCTTCAAGGCAATCTATACAACATTTGTTTGACCAATGCTAGAATATCCATCACTATTATGGAATCTGCATCTTGTAAAGCATGAAGCCAAAACTGAAGAAGTAGAAAGGTTTGCAACAAAATTTGGTGCCAGAGCTAAGAGGATTAAACTACAAAAATAGGCAAATGTAACAATCTCATAACCTTAGAGGATAGAAGGAACAGAGGTGATATGATCAGCGTACAAGATATTGAGGGGAGTAGATAAGGTGGATAAGGATAGCCTCTTCAGAGATAGCAAGACAAGAGGGCACAGGTTGAAGCTGGAAATGCAAATGAGCCAAAGGGACATAAGCAGGCACTCGTACCCTGTACGGATAGTTAAAAAGTGGTTTGCTCTAAAAAGTTGTGGAAGCCACTGCGGGCCACTCCAAGAAACCGCCTAGTAGACCAAGCTCTCAAAAGTCAAGCCTGGCTTCGTTCCAGGCTTGGGGAGAACAACTACTCCCAGAACCCCATCAAGCAGGTATCAAGCAGGTACAACTTTATGACCTAATTAAAAAAAACTTTGAAAGTCAGAACAGTTATAACAAACTCAACCGGTACAAAACTGGGGTGTAGAGCTAGATCTCACTCCCCTGTAGACATTAATAGGCAAGTAGCATTCCTTTCCCTCCATCCTATCCCAGGTCCTCATATCCTTTCCAAGTGCTATGCAATCATACTGACTGTTTTCTCAATTTTCTTGACACTCTCTTCATTAGAATTTTTTCCGCTCACACGTTATTATATTACAACCTTTACCGTCTCCGTGGTGTAGTGGTAAGACACTCGCCTGGCGTTCCGCGAGCACTTTGTCATGGGTTCACATCCTGGCCGGGGAGGATTTACTGGGCGCAAATCCTTAACTGTAGCCTCTGTTTAACTCAACAGTAAAATGGGTACTTGGTTGTAACAATTCTTCGCTGTGGGGATCGTATTCCAGGGACCTGCCCGAAACGCTACACATACTAGTGGCTGTACAAGAATGTAACAACTCTTGTATATACAGCAACTCAAAAAAAAAAAAAAGTCATAGTTAACAAATGATGCACATCAAAGCATCTGCAATGAAGCACTTGTTCTTGGGGATTTTTCTGAAAACTATTCCTTCCTCACACAAGATGCCTTTCAGTTTTCATTGGATTAACAATACATAATAGTTACTGTATTATCAACAATTGTCTTGAAAACACTCAACTTCTGCAGCTTATACTTTCCA